TGTATATATGTATATATGTATAAGAATACATATATATGTATATACACACATATACATAATATATAATACATATATGTATAATAATACATATATATGTATATATACTTATATACATAATATATAATACACATATATGTATAATAATACATATATGTATATACACACATATATACATAATATATAATCATACATATATGTATAACAATACATATATGCATATATGCATAATATATAATACATACATGTATGTATAATAATACATATCTATATGTGTATATATACATAATATATAATACATACATATATGTACGTGTATATACACACACATATGTATATATACACACACATCTACACACGTATATACACGTATATATGTATAAGTTTAACCCAGTGTATCCAACATATGATCGTGTCAACCTGAAATCAACACTAAAATTATTAATAGATATTTTACACTTCTTGTTTCAGCTGAGTTCCAAGTCTCTGAAACTCAAAGTGTGTATTTTGTAGTAGCCACCTTTCAAGGGCTCCAGCAGTCACATGTGGCTCGTGGCTACTGTATTGCACAGTGTCGGTGTAAAGGATGGGGGTGGATGTGAAAAAAAAGAGATTTTAGAAAGGAGCCCAGGGAAACTGGGAAGATAAAACGAAGAATTAAGGAGAACACATTGCTGGTCAGGGCTGAATGGGAGCTGGGTGCGTGAATGGGGGAGAGGGTGCGGAGGGGCTGGGACTCAGAACAAATTTCATTCTGTGATTCATTGGTCAGTAATTTAAAAATAGATGATAAAGGTTAAAATTAACATTGATAGCAGCTTTGTGGTGTGAGTAAAATCACAACTTGTGGCTTGATAAGCGGCTTTACTGGTCACCTTGGTGATAGCGGGGAATTAGATTTGTGTAAAGCCCGGGTTTGTCGGGGCCCAGAGTCTCTATTCTCTTATCACCCTCTCCAAGTTTCTGAGGGATTTTCTCCCCATGGATTCATTTCAGTGTCTTCGCGCAGAAACAATCATCCTGACCAAACAGGATGAGGAGGGGTAGACAACATAAGGAGTCAGAGTGCTAACACGGGCACTGTCTTCGGGACAGGAGTGTGGGGACAGCCGGGGGGCAGGTGGATGGGCTGATCAGTGTGGAAGGGCTGAGGGCCAGCTGAGAGTCTGAAGAGCCGGCCCTAGAGCCCTTGACTGCCGTCTGAGCTGACAGCCTGCTCAGAAACAGTTTCACTGAATTTGGTTTCAAGTGAGTGAACAGGGAGAGTTCCACGAGGGGATTTCTCCCCCAAAGAGTCAAATGTCAGAAGGGCTTAAGGCAGTTTAAAGTGCACTCGTTTCCATTGAATTTTGAATCAAGCGATTAAAAAAAAAAAAGTTATGAAGACGGACGGATTTTGGGTTGACTTCATGTTACAAGGAGTATAAGAGAATCGAACCTGGAGACCCTCAAGTCACCAAGAGCGGTGGACAGCTCTCTATTGTGAAGAATGGCTTCTGTTCCGTTTGGCCCCGAAGTAATGATGACCTTTGTCTCCTCCCATCCTTGGCCGTGGTTCTCGGGAGCGCCTCCAAGAGGAAGGGTCATCAAGGCTCACGGTGCCATCCGACATTTGACAAACTGACGGATGCGGCATGAAGCACTGAGCCAGGCTCTGGAACTAAGAAAGGAGACTTTCCTTATGCAGAGAGGCAGGGATGCTCCACAAGTAGGGTCCCATAACTTCTGTGCGGTTGATGATTTTTTTTTTTCTTTTCTCTTTTTTAGGTAGTGGGGAAAGGGCGTTTGGAGATAGAGGGGCAGAAACACCTGAATTCTGAGAAGGAAGGTGAGTGTTTAGGCTTCCACTGAAAGATGAAAGTATATCTTCAACTTCCAGGAAGCTCTTGTTATCCCAGAAGCCACAGAGAAGAAGCAATGAGAGAATACCACTGATCACCACAGAGCAGGAGAATGGGGGGGCCGCAGCTAGGGCATGAGAGGCGTAGACTTGTGGTTGGAGGTCATTGGCGGACGAGCGCGCATTCTCATCCCTGTGTATCCCCTCTTCTTTTCCAGGAATGAAAGGCTCCTTCTCCATCTCACTGACCTTCACTTCCAGACTAGCCCCTCATCCTTCTCTGGTGATCTATGCCATTTTCCCCAGCGGAGCGGTTATAGCCGACAAAATTCAGTTCTCGGTAGAGATGTGTTTTGACAATCAGGTAAAATGGCAGTTGAGGGAGGTGAAGAAAAGGTCTGGGCAGAGAGAGAGAGAGAGAGAGAGAGATCTTGTGTATGCTGGGGCTGGAGATCAGGCAGGGACAGAGAAATAGGAAGATAATGGGGAGGCGGACGTCATTATCGTATTTATATCTTCAGGATGTTTTGTTGAAATTGCTCTCTTTCTTTTTAGAAAGTCATGCCGGGGAAACCGTGTATCCTACCCAGGTCTTCTTTCTTTTTAGTTTCTGCCTCGTAAACTTTCTGTGTTATTCTGTGCTGAAAAAAATCAGTCTAAAAGTGAAGGAATGGGCCCCGATGCCAGAACTGGGGCATATTGGCAGATGAGGCAAATTATGTTGTTTCTCCCCGTCTCCGGGCTGACCTGATCCCCAAGTTATATTTTTCCCTTCCCCAGGTTTCCCTTGGCTTCTCACCTTCCCAGCAGCTTCCAGGAGCAGATGTGGAACTACAGCTGCAGGCAACTCCTGGGTCCCTGTGTGCCGTCCGGGCGGTGGATAAGAGTGTCTCACTGCTGAGGCCAGAGAGAGAGCTGAGCAACAATTCTGTGAGTAGTCTGCTACTGGGGCGGGAAGAGAAGACAGTGTGACTGCACTCGAACAAAAGATGGATTTCAGGGAGTGAGAAAGAAAGGCTGAGGGAAAGCCTTATGGTAGAAAAGCTGGTGGGGAAATAGAGGTAAACTGATGGCATGAGAAAGGCAGGGCTCATGTGGGCATAGAAGTAGGAAAGATGTAATAGGAGTTAAGGGTGACAGATTATTGAAGAAGGTGAGAAAGAGGGGTGGGGGGGCCTGGGTGGCTCAGTCGGTTCAGTGTCTGACTCTTGATTTTGGCTCAGGTCACGATCTCGTGGTTCGTGAGTTCGAGCGCCCTGAGCTCTGTGCTGTCAGCACAGAGCCTGCTTGGAATCTTCTCTCTCTCTCTCTCTCTCTCTCTGCCCCTCCCCCGTTCACGCACATTTCTCTCTCTCTCAAAATAAAGAAATGAGCTTTAAAAAACCTTTAAAAAAATGGTGAAAAAGGGGTCAAAAATGTAAAGGTAGGGGAGATTTTGTGATGCAATAAATACAGGAAGATTTCGGGAGTAACGAAGAGAAATAATACGAGGGCGGTGAGCTGTGGCACCACAGTCCGAGAGAAGTTTCTCTACTGATTTCACTGTGTCAATAGTTTATTTCCTTTTCCCTTCCTGTTTCAGATCTATAGGATGTTCTCATTCTGGTACGGTCACTACCCCTATCAGGTGGCTGAATATGATGAGTGTCCAATGTCTGGCTTCTGGAACTCTCCACAAACCCTCTCGGTTATGTGGAGGCCTTGGTTCTCTGAACGTGTGGACCTTTTCCATTTTTTCCAGGTAGATGTTCTTACCCGTTTTGTTCTTGTAGAAACAATGGTGGTGGTGGGCGGAGGAAATTCCTTACCTAAAAAAAGCAGAGAGACTCATGTGGGCACTGAGGGGATAAAACCTTGGAAGAAACTCCTAATACGTGAGGTAGCCTCTCCTGGTCCTTATCCTGGAAGAAGGTACCCAACTGCCCAACTGCATTGGAAGAGGGCCACCGTGAGAGGCTGTGTGCAGCCTCTTTCCATCATTATAAACATTACGTGAGTAGAAGTTAAGTACTTTATGAGTAGGAGCTGGGGATGCCGAGGCCTAAGTCTGACCAGAGGTCTCTGAAGTCAGGAACCATGTCTTGTTCATCTTTGTATTCTCTCTAATGACTGATCCTTCATAATCCTCAATGTGTTTTTGTTGAATTGACTGAGCCGATATGGTTCCTGCCCTCAGAAAGTTCAGGCTAAATCAAATAATAAGGGCACAGTGACTAACGTTTGGAAGAAGCATGAAATATATTTGACAATGAAATAAGTGGATTACTATTCACTGATAAAAAGAAGGATGAGATCTTGTCATTTGCGCCCACATGGGTGGATCTTGAGGGCGTTATGCTCAGTGACATAAGTCAGCCAGAGAAAGACAGATACCATATGATCTCGCTTCTATGTGGAACCTAAACGACAGCAACATCAAGCTCATAGAATAATTCGGTGGCTGCCAGAGGCAGTGGGCATGGGGTGTGCAAAGTGAGTAAAGGGTTGTCAAAAGGCACAGACATCTGGTTTAAAAGAAGTCCTGGGGATGTAACATATAGCATGGCGACCGCATGGCTAATAATATTGTATTACATATTTGAAAGTTGCTAAAAGAATAGATCTTGAAAGTTCTCATCGCAAGAAAAAAACATTTTTTTTTTTGTACCTAGGTATGGTGATGGATGTTAACTAGGCTTATTCTGGTGATCATTATGCAGAGTATATATTTAAAAAATTGCAATTTTTTAAATTTCTGGCTGGAAGAAGTGAACAAAACTTGGCGGCTGAGTGTTGGGGAATAAACACCTGTATTACAGTTAACAGGAAAAGAAGGCTTGGTTCAACCCTTTGAGGATAGACTGCCTAGGCAGTAGCCCACATAGTAAGGGAGGGGACCACTTTAACTCTTTGTCCTCCGGTTTCTTTGGTGCCTATCAGGACATGGGCCTGAAAATACTGTCCAATGCCCAGATTAAGAAGCCAGTAGATTGCAGTCACCAGTCTCTAAAGCACAGCATTGCAGTGGCGGAAGGTAAGCTACCCGTGTAGCTTAAATCATGGAACACTCCAGAAGCGCACTCTTCGCCTCCTGTTCCTGTTGCCTCCGGTCCGAGTGATAATGGCTTGCCGGTCATGGACGCAGGCAGCCAGATCTCTCTCTGGGGAGCACTTTTGAAGCTTGAAGCCCTTACCTATTCATCCCCTGGCCAAACCTCCTCATCTGTCACTTCCCCCTGATGGCCTCGAGACTAGTCGGTTCCTCAGTACTCCTTCCTCTTTGTCTCTCACTTGTTCTCCATTTCCCTCTAAATTTCTTGGTCGTAGTTCCTCTGCCTCAGCTTATCGTACAACAGAAGTCTTTTGGGAGAGCCCGGGTGGCTCAATTGGTTAAGCATTCGACTCTTGATATCGGCTCAGGTCATGATCTCAGGGTCGTGGGACTGAGCCTCACCTTGGGCTCCACATTGAACATGGAGCCTGCTTGAGATTCTCTCTCTCCCTCTCTCTTCCCCGCCCCTACTTGCACGTGTGAGAGGTCTCTCTCTCTCTCTCTCTCTCTCTCTCCCAAAAGTCTTCTGTTTTCCCAAATTCCCTTATTCTTGTTCTCCTCAGCAAATTATGGTAATCGTCTAGTGAGTTTTGAATCATCATCATCTTCATCACTTCAGTCAGAGGATCCTCAGATCCGCCAGTATTTCCCAGAGACTTGGCTCTGGGATCTGTTTCCAGTTGGGTAAGTGATGCCTCAAAGATATAGCAAGATTGTACCTTGTGGAGTCAGCAGCGAATTTGGAGTCAGATCTTTTTTTTTTTTT